ACAAATATTTACATTGAATAAAGAAAAATATCAAATCGAGCATAATGAGCAGATTGAGATTTTCAATAAGAAAGTAATGAGAAAATGAAATGCTAGAGCGCCGTAATGGCAGCCGTGCTAAAGCCAGGGTAATAATCTCCCTCTGTGCCTCAGAAGTCAGAATAGTTTACTAGATCGATGGCGCATAACAAATGCTGTAGTATTATTATTATAACTCAGTCATATCTCAGTCACACCAAAGCCAAAATTCAGCCATACTTCTGTCATGCTGTCGGTCTGGAGTCGATCTCGTCGTTTTGTGTGAGGTGTTAGTCAAATAATGATAACATTTATTCATGTTCCGTATTCCACATATTATTCAAGTTTGTGACAAATATTTACAATGAATAAAGAAAAATATCAGATCGAGCATAATGAGCAGATTGAGATTTTCAATAAGAAAGTAATGGGAAAATGTTGAGGGGTCTACTAAGAAACTTAAAACTTGTTAAATGTAGACCTCCTTGCTATACAAATATACACAAAAAACAACAGGGCTTAAATTAATCCAAGGCCACCAAGGCCATGGCCGTGGATGCCCTTATGATTGGCCTCAATGCCCCTCTCATTGGCCTTGGAGATTTTTTGTGCCCTTTCCAATTCTTCCTATTTGTGCTGTAATATAGGAATGTGCCCTACAGAAAAGTGGCCTTGCCCTAAAATTATTGAAATTTAAGGCCTGAAACAATCTTTAACAATATATGATTTTGCTAAGCAAATTAACTGAAATAATAGAAAATAATACAACAAACATCCTAATATATATGTAGACTATATACATGTACAGATGGAATAAACGGAAGCAGTTGCCACACGAGAAAAATATGTATCATGTATGAGTCAAAGAGGTGAAAACAGACAAAGCAGAGAGGGGATTATATCGTTAGAAATACAGTATAAAGTTGTTGTGTTGTTTAAATTGAATCATTAAAGAGAAGGTTGAGTTCTGGGAAGAGGTGAAAAATAATTTGTGAGCTTTATCATTCTAATTATGCAAGTGTGGAAGAACATCAGATAAGACATGTTTCCTGTAAAGCATGGCTCTTCAAATGGCTTCATATTCTAAATATGTCATGTAACATCGTAAAAATCCGGGTAGGCTTTTTACGCCACGTGTTCGTGTAGCCCCATATACATCTTTCCGTGTACAGTGTTTGTAACTTTACCAAGACTTGGCCGAATTTCTTATCATTTTGATGATTCCAGACAATTGCAATACACACAAATTCTTATATGCTAGATGATCAACCTTTCTGGACGATTCCACAACTCAACTGCATCTTTAAGCATGAACAGTGTATTCAAGATAGCCAGAGAGGGAGTCTGGGTGAGTGATGGAGGGAAGAAAGAGATAAATATCTACATGTATGAAGTGGGTGTCAAATTAGGGATACCTAACTTCGATTTATTTCCATTTAACAGTCATAAGCTTTATGAAATTGAAATACTTTTTATTTTTAAGAGTAGCTATATTTGGTTTAATTATACATTATTCATAGCTCAGCTTCCACGGATGACTGAGAAGCAGCCTTTTCAAAAGGTATTGTCAAACCATCTTGTATACCAAGTTATTGATGAAGCAATTAATGTGTTTTTTTAGTCCGAAAACAATTGCTGACTTATTCGCATTTTAGTAGAAAAGGGCCACTGTCAACTCAAACTCAGTAGAATGGTATTTTACTACCAAATTATTAATGATATTCTCTTCGTTATGATTACCCAATCTTAGCTTCATTCGCATTCTCTGTTTAATGTAATTCATTTAAAATGGACAAAGTTTTCTTCGGATGCTATTTTTTTAATGAAAGTTTACTGGCAATGTTATTTCTGGCATTGATGTAACCTTTGATGTTAATTAATCTCTGAGTTTTCATGTGCTGTTCTAAACGAATACCTTATGCACCTTACGCATCTTGGGCATGTCAAAAAGTGCATTGGACACGTGAGCAGAGAAAATTTAAATGTCACGAGATCATAAGTTAGTCTGTTAGCAGGTGATTTGAAAAAAAATTATGGTTATCCTTGGGATTTAAAGAAGGTCGTGTAACAACTTTAAATAATGAATCACTGAAGCATAAATTAGGATTTAACTGCTTTTGTTTTGTAGAGAGATATTTGTGAGAAGCGAGGGGGCATAAACGGCCCCCTCGCTGATAGAAGGAACCACTAGCCCCCTCGCTTTTGGCGCCACTGCCGGAGACAGGATTTCTACAGTATTAGCATACGCCGCTTTTTTGTGTACATTTATTATGGAAGGGAGCGTGGAGTCCAATTAAGGACAAACATTAGGTTTGGAAAGGTGAAATTGCATTTAAAGAGCACTTGTAAGCTGGTAGCTTTACTGAAAATTATGTACACTATAATCTTGTAGGGAAAAAAACTATTGCTCCCATGCATTGATAGAAGATAGATTAATAGATGGTAGCATCTGCTTCCTTGATTCCGGTGCTTATACTAAGCATAACTTTTAAAGTTAAAAAACACTGCGTGTGCTAACAAAATACTCGAGGGAGCGTAGCGACCGAGAGAGACAAAAAAAAATGCTGAAGTTGTGTATGCTAGAGCACTAGAAAGCTGAATATAAACACTGCAGTATATGATAAATTCCTGCAATTTTCTCTCCTTTTTAGTTAGGGGCTCTTTGGGATTGCAAACAATTATTCCGCCCCCCCCCGATTCTGGCGAAAATGCTCGCATTTCTGCCAAATTACTGCTTTCAGTCGAACTTGTGCAAAACTCAAAGAAAGCTATATTAAAAGCAAACATGCATACATATTGATTTTTATATAGCGCCTTTACGTGAACATGCTCAAGGCGCTTTACATTTAAAAAAATAAAAACAGAATAGTTATATACTCTCCAAGTGCATTTGCACTCTAAAAAAATAACAATTACAAAGAAAAAAAATGAGTTTTTAAATTTCTCTTAAATGATGCGACTGAGGTGCATCGTTTAACAATTTCAAATCTGAGATGCATGGCCCTATCAGTGTCTGTGATACGGTGTAATATTGAAGCCCTAACAAATTGCGCTTCAAAATGAGCATGAATTAGTGCCTCCAAAAAGTAAAAATCTTTGAGTGACCGACTCATTTTCCCCAGTAGTCAAGACTGAAGTGTTATGAAAACCGTTAGGAAAACCCCAAATTTGATTTCGAGTTCCAATCATAAATATCTTGATAATCAGACAGGCGTTCGGCTTGTAGAAGTCATGGTGTTCCTGACTGACCTAAAGGTTTATGATTATCATTGTAGCATGAGCTAAATCCAGGATTTTGTTTCAGAATCTGAGGCAAAGTTACCCAATCCCTTTAAGAGAATAAAGAGAACGTGACCTATTCGGAGGAAGTCGTACATAGACCAAACTGGTCGTGGAAAGGTTTTCTTTGTCTTTCAAGGGAATGCGAGAGTTCTTAGAATGATTGCCGGTTGGTCGCAGACTGATCCCCAGTGCTTGCCGAATATTATCAGGTCAAATATGGTTGCGAAAGGATCGGCCGCTGATCGACGAAATGATATATGATCAGACGCCGATTTATCTCTAATAGTTCGCCGAATACCTACAACCGGCAAAGAATTTAACTGTAGAAACGTCGACTGATTATTGTTGCTTCCCCGTGTGGTTCATAAATTCAGTATTTTCACAGAGAGCGAAAAAGCTATTAAAAATTTTTTTTATGAAAATCAACCGTTTCCACTGTTTCTTAAAAGTAATACAAAGTTTTGGGAAATTTCCAAAATTGGTTGGATAGTGAATCTTTACAATGTTGATATATTTGGATGTCCCTGTGGATGTATTATGAGCACTAATAAATTTAGCCCCCAAAACACTTTTGCTTTCGAGAAAAATTGAATATAAAAATTTACCGTTGCTCCCGGTAAATTTTGATAAAGTTCAAAAAGCGTCTACGGCCGCACAATGGTATAGATGTGAACATGAAGATATCAGAATATGTAGCTGTGATATATCATTTCCAAACGGGAATAGCTAATCGGTCGATTTTAGTCAAGAAACATTGTTTTATAGCTTAATTAATATCTTGACCTTGAGAGGGAACTATACAACAAAAAGAGATTATTATTTACAATTTCATAACTTTAGACTCGATTTCAACTGCGACAACGATCACTGAATATTGTAGGATCACATATGCCTCCAATATGTTCATTTGAAATGAATTCATGACCCCATACCAAAACTTTGTATTGCCTTTAATTTACTTTGATCATGTTTTTTCTGTGATGCTTTAAACTGTTTTATTTTTTTCTGCAGCAGCCTTGTAAATGTACCAAATGTAAGTTAAAAAAAATAAGATAAGTGCCATGTATGATACTATCTGTTTTATGGGGGTCTCTCCATTTCATTATATTCTCGGGATTTGGTTTTATAGATTGTCAACAACAACACAAATGTCAACTTAATGTTTTAAACAGAAATATTTCGCATTATCAATACTTTGAGTGAGCATCAATCCATATCAATAACCAGTTTATAAGTAATGGATATACTATTATCATGATAGTGTATTGGGATTGTTTTTAAGCTGGGCTCTCGTAAGACTTTGCGACCGTGCTCCCAGCAACTCCTGCAGCACCCCAGAATAAGGGAGTCTACAGATAGCACATGGTACAAATGAGCCCAAATATCCACAGATCTTTTACACATGGAGAAGTTCCACTTTGAGCATATTAGAATAATAACTGCCAAAGTCCTAGATGTGCTTCATGGATACCTTTTGTTTGTCCTCTTGAAAAGAATACTTCCACCTGCGTATCATAGAATGTACCGTTGGTGCATAAATGAATAATGTTACATAATTTTCATGAGCGCATATCCGGTATTCATCTCTGTGGGTTTTGCCTTTTTGGTACAAATGACCTTTATTTGCCCATGCGCAGATTGTATCTGTAAACTCCCTTATTTCCCGGTTCCGGATCCAAAGCTGTCCCTTGCGACGCGGCTCAGTCATCCATGGTTAACGGGCGTAACTTCATCTCGCTTCCCGTAAGGATTGTCTTAAAGTCCCACAGCATGCCTCTTTTGTCCGCGGGGGTAGCGAGATCCCCGTCGTCCGAGTAGATCCCGTTAAGGTCGCAATAGCGACACCGATTAAACCACCACCCGGATGAATAATAGCTGGCACAATGATATTCGGACCCATCGTTGTCTCGGTCTCTGGTACTGAATTGACGTCCGCGGTGTAAACCAAGGCGATCTCCTGCATGTTAAAGGATGATGGATTCAATAGATTTTGATTTACTTATTTTAAGTATTTATATATATAACCAAACCATGATTATGTAAACAAAAAAATACCCCAAGGCAAATGGGTCCCATATGACTTATCTTTATTAAACTTTTAATGAAATTCATGAAAAAAATGAAAAAACATTTGTTTATGACCATTTCAAAATGTGAGTGATACCAGAAAGACTAATTTATTTTGTTTTGTTATACATGGCTAAGTTAGACTCATTGCATGGATTCGCCCACCCACAATAACCTCAAAATAGTACTCCCCCCTCCCCCACCCCGGTCCATGTTTGAAGCCAGGGACAAGGGTCATAATTGCGAGAAATATGTACCTGCACCTCCGCCAGAATAAGCACCTAGCTTCAGATCATAATTCATGGTCTCATTGCCAATCATGAACTCGCCGTAACTGGCATGGCTGGTCGTCCCAGAGAAATCTTCCATATCGACCCGTAGTTCATAAGTCTTCTGGCTCGTCAGGCGATGAATCTTATCGTTCCCAAGCCAGTGTTCACCAGAAACGCTCCCGAAGCCCTTCTTGTAGTGTGACCAATTACCACTGAAATTAACGGAACCGTCCTTTCTTCTTTGGAAGACCTATGGCAAGGAGCGTAGAAAGTGTGGATGATAAACACTTTCTTAAATAATTCAAACATTTCTACTTGTTCCTTTTTGGCTTTGGTTTTGGTTGTTATTTGTTTGCTTGTTGTTGTTGGGGTTTGGGGGGACAGAGAGAGAAAGAGATAATTTGGCTCTAACTATAGCAATCCAGGCGTCTTTTCAATCACTGGTTTGTATATTATTCATACATCGATATGTATATTTTTGAATAAAATAAATCTAACCAATAAACCAACACATCGTTCAACTTTGAAAGGAGGACAATAATGGTGGCTTCTTTTACAGGGCACATTTTCGTCACGCCGTGACCATCCTGATTCTCCATCCGATTTGCACCTAGGTGAAAAGTAGCGAACCATGAATTGAATTGCCAAAGGACCTTAGTGCCGGGCTGGGATTCGAACCCTCGACTCACCGTCCAACCACCACCAGCGGTGTCCATGTCACAGTAGACGTTGAACGATCTTCCGACGCCTTCAGGGTGGATGCCATAGATTCTGCTGATATTCAGCCCACTTGCCTTGATGTCAGCACAGTCCTGTGGCTCCCCAGGAAACACTTCAGGAGAGCTTCTCAAATCTTTTTGTCGCGGTTATAAACAAAAGTAAAAAGAGACTCTCACAAATGCGTTTTTTGTTTTTTGTTTGTTTGTTTTTTGTTTTTTTTTTTTTTTTTTTTTGGGGGGGGGGTTATCATTGTGAATTGCATTATGTTCCATCCAAAAGATGCGGCGAAAATAAGCTATACAGTGCCTCCCAGAAAAAACGAAACCGAGAATTATCAATGTTTCATCATAACTTAATCACAATAATAGTTGATAAATGACACATATTTGTAAAGCTTAGATCCTCCTCTTTCATTCGATTCAACTCATATAATGCATTTTTCACGCATGAGTGATTAAAATGAGTTTGAAGATAATCAACCAAAAAGTCTTTTGGCGGACGGTATCTGAATTTCAAAGAGAACAATCACATTTCTAGAAAGTTGAGTTTCCGCTCTTTCATATGACACCTCAGTCAGGAAAAATAAGCAAGGAATAACAAAGTTCTGTTTTTTTTAACCCTTACTGTACTGGGCTATTTTGAGCACCTCGTGACTAGGAGGGGGGGGGGGGGGGCCTCCCCCCTATGATCTCGGCCGTCGAAAGTCCGATGAACGCGAAAATGTGCATGTTTGTAGATATTTACGTAAGGAATAAGATGGTATAATTAGTTTTTTCCTAATATGCAAATTTTTGTCGTTATAGCCTAATTATTTATGCAAAATGCTAATTTTATGCATTTTACAGAAAACTCTTCATATTTGTCTGTAGACTTGTGAAGAATGTTGAAAATGTATTGAATAAATGTTTCCTTCATCTCAAAGTCATGAGGTTACATTGTTTTTATGATATTTGAAAATGCATAGTTAATTTGCATAAATTATGAATACGCATTCATGAATATCAAATCTAAAAATATACAGGGAACTAGAATCATTACAAAAATTGTCAGACTCTACTTTTTGAATGTTAATTGAAACCCATTATTCATATGAAACTTCTTTTCTAACACAAAATAGTTCTTTTTATGTAATTAATAATGATAATTTATGCAAATTTGATGCGATTTTCAAACACTTATTTTCTTTTGTATTTTATTGTTATTATTTCTTATTATATCTATTGTTTTATTTCTAATGTATTCTTTTGTTCTGGAATACATCAAGTTACTTTGAGAAACATATAAAAGCAATTTGATATCAATTCATAGTATTCACATTTCTGCTTGTACATGAATATATGCAATTATAGCATATTTTTGATGACATGCGCATACTAATTGTTATGTAACATCTTACAGGTATATCCGATTTCGACGAAAATGGTATCAAAATGTGCGTAAAACTTGAGGGGAAAAAGTCATGAAACGACAATTCAATTTTCCAAGCGGTTGCGGCGCATTCGCCGAAAATGTCGAGGGGGGGGGGGGGGGGCTCCCAGCCCCCCCCCCCAGTACAGTAAGGGTTTAAGTAGTGCTTGCATTTCCATTAATTTTATCAAACGAATGCGTTTTCACTGGCTGCCTGCCGTAGCAACAAACAAAATTGACTCCGTTTCGTTGACAATCAGCCGAAGACGAAAGACTTCGTGCATGGCTGATTGTCAATTCTGCTTGTTGCTACGGCAGGCAGCCAGTGAAAACGAATTCGTTTGATAAAATTATGGAAATGCAAGCACTATTTTAAACAAACATAACTCTGTCATTCCTTGCTCATTTTTCCTGATTGAAGTGACATGTGAAATGTGATTTTCTCTTTGAAATTCAGATACCGTCCGCCAAAAGACTTTTTGGTTTACTCTCTTCAAATTCATTTTAATCACTCATAAGTGAATATGCATCATATGAGTTGCATCAAATGAAAGAGGAGGTTCTAAGCTTTACAAATATGTGTCATTTATCAATTATTATTGTGATTAAGTTATGATAAAACATTGATAATTCTCGGTTTCGTTTTTTCTGGGACGCACTGTATTATAATGAGAATTTTTGAGTTATTATTTCTTTTATTATTACTTAGGAGCCTACATGCTCAATGGAAAATATTCATGTATAATTTACATTTTTGGTTCCTTGTAGCTCGTGCAGAATGAAATGAACCGAGGCGGTGTTTTGGTCTCTGTTTTATTGTTGTTGCTGTTGTTTTATTAATATTATCTTTATTTACCAATCTTTTTTGATCAGTAAAGTTCTGAGAAGGTATGAACTTTATCTCTTGAGATTATATCGTATTGTCACAATCATTTCACGAAAACATATACGAAAATTTGTATTTCAACTTACGGCGCAGCAGTTTATGGGAACCAATATTGCAATGTAAAACGCACAGCGAATGTACTTATAATGTGGTATGAATCAACGTTCGTACTGTAATTATTTCAATATCAAATCGAGCAATTGTAATTATTAGATAAAATCTTGTCAGGATATATGATAGATGGAAGACCCCTACTATTGGTGAGAAATGACCCACCAAGTATACAAATGATAAGTTTAAAAAATAAATGAGTCAATGTTAGGTCTTAAATTGAATTGACTTCTCCCATGTTGAATTACCAAAAGTATTCATGTTCATACCGGGTGTGCAGTGTTTACGTTGAACCCGGTGGGACCCGGGCTTCCCGGGCTTCCCAAAAGAGCGTTTTTCGTCTGCACGGTATGTGGTCTTTTGTTCAACAACTTTTCCGTCCAAAACGACTGGTTTGCAACTATCACTAACATGTCCGAGCGAACCCGACGATTCGAGTGCTGAAACTTGATGAGAATAGGATCAAAGGATTAGATATTAAACTTCAGTCACACCAAAAAGACGACATCACACCGACTACACATTGAACAAAATATGAACGTTAACCGCAATGGTCGAGAATCAGCCGGTGTGGAGTCGGTATGGAGTCGGTGTGGAGTCGGTCTGGGGCCGTTCTGGGGTCGGTGTGGGGTCGGTGTGGGGTCGGGGTGGGGCCGGTGTGGAGTCGGTATGGAGTCGGTGTGGAGTCGGTGTGGGGTCGGTGTGGGGTCGGTGTGGGGCCGGTGTGGGGCCGGTGTGGGGTCGGTGTGGGGTCGGTGTGGGGGTCGGTGTGGGGTCGGTTTGGCAGTGTAAATTAGTTTTTCAGAGCGTAACTAAATTTGATGATAATTCTTGGAACATTAAACATTTGCTGTGCCGGTGTCACATTAATCTGACAAAAAGTTTCAAGGTATTTTCAATCACACTTAATACCACCAAGAAATAGCTAGCAGTCAAATTTAATCACTATTTATACCATGTAACAATCATTCTAAATACTTATTTAAATATATATAACTAACAAACAACCCTGTGTAAATAAAAGTGAAATATATATATATATATATATATGGGGTAAGGTATAGGTACTTTATTCCATTCTTCATTTAATATACACAATACGTACAGAGTATACACAATTCGAAATACATAAATAGATGTAGAAGGGTTAACATTACAGATAATAAAAATAAAATAATATTACCAGTAAATATTTCTGTCCAATGAGGGGTCAACAAAAAAAGAGCATTTAGCTTTGTTGAACGTTGATCCCTTTAGAAAGTACATATTTAACAGCACATTAAAAAAAAAAAGGTGGACACAGGAGAAATGAAATGGAAAACATAATACAGAAAAAAATGTATACAAATATATACGTCATAAATCAAATATGATATTCAAGTTGCTGAGTAAAAATTTAATAAATACGATCTAAAGGATCGTTTAAAACTATGTACAGAATATTGATTCTTTAGATGGTTTGGAATAGTGCTCCATATAAATGAGGACCTTTCTGAAAATAGTATTCTTTGAAATATTAGTTCTAACTTTTGACAGATGGTATACTACATTTCGTGTATTTGAATTATGTATGTTACAATTTAAAACAACTTGTGATGTAATTAGAGCTGATAATAAGTGTCTAGAACACATAAACATAATTATAGTAATATTAAATATATTAATGTCATAACGTTTAGGAGATATAACTAGGAAAACATCGGCAAGGTATGAGCATTATATGGTGAATTAGAAATTATTCCTATGGCTTTTCTTTTTGCAGAACAAATGATTTAGTAATAAAGTAATCATGACCGTTTGACCAAGCAATATTAAAGGTATTACAAAGTTTCGGTATGGGGTCATGAATTTGGTTTAAATATTCATTAAATTATTCATTGATCGTTGTCCCGGTTGAAATCGAGTCTAAAGTTATGAAATTATAAATAATAAACCCTTTATGTTGTATAGCTCCCTCTCAAGGTCAAGATATTAGTTTAGCTATGAAACAATGTTTCTTGACTAAAATCGACCGATTAGCTATTCCCGTTTGGAAATTATATATCACAACTACATACTCCGAGATTTTCATGGTCGCAGCTACCATTGTACGGCCGTAGTCGCCATTTGAAATTTATCAAAATTTACCGGGAGCACCGGTAAATGTTTATATTCAATTTTTCTCGAAAACAGAAGTGTTTTAGGGGTTAATTTTTTTAGTGCTTATAATACATCCACAGGGGCATCTAAATATATCAAAATTGTAAAGATTCACTATTCACCCAATTTTCAAAATTTCCCAAAACTTTGTATTACCTTTAACATAATTGACATGGGATAAATCCCTGCATAAATATTATGACATAACTAAAATATGTCTTGAAAAATGTCTCGCTATACTAGCTACGGTTTTTTTGAAAATTAAAAGATCTGTGTGGATTATTGGTTATATCCTTCATGACATTCAATGAATTGGGGTTAGGGGTGTCATAAGAATTGGTAATGAATTTTCGAACAATTTGTATACATCGACAACATTTAATTGAAAAAGTAACCATTGTTTATATGGGTAAAATCTTGAAACAAGTTAAACTACTTTGGCTACTTTGGCATTGTGAAATTTAAACTGACTACTTACATGGTGTCATCACTGCCAAAGCACAGACAATTTTTGTAAGAGCGCTGCACCCGAATCTTCTTTCCATGGCCAAAGATTGTTATGTTATAATAGAGAATAAGACCAAGTATAG